CTTCCTGCAAGACGAGGAGCGGGCCGTGCGGCTCGCCATCTCCACGGGAGACCTTCCCGCCTGGGTGAGTGGGGGGGCGCCTCCCGGGCCCCTGGGGGCGCTTGCAGGGAGTCGGCGCCTGCTCGCCCGCCTGCCTGCCGATGCGAGGCTAAATGCCCGGGTGCGAGCGACCCTTGCGGGCTGCCTCTGCCTCCCTAGCCCCCTCGGGGATGGTTCAGGTCTTCCTTCAGCAGCCGCAGAAGAGCCAGCCGTGTTTGAACCTTGCTCGTGAGAACCCAGAAAGTTGGGCTGACCGGCTAAAACAGGGTTCGGCTGACCCAGGAGAGCAGCCGCCCTTCCCTTTGCCTGCGGGTGGTTCTGTGGCCGTGCAGACGGTTTGAGAGTTGCGGTCTTTCCCCACCTATTGGGTGCCTAGAGGCGTTGGAGTTCAGCTCCCGTATTTCCCGGGGGTTGAGAATTACGGCAGTCGAAGTCCGACAGCCTGGAGGGCGTGAAGTTAGGCAAGGCTGGCTGGAGTCATGCTGATCCACAGCCCTGCCTTTATTGAAATGGACCTTCCTCTGTGTGAGAAGACTTCGCGGTCACCAAGTGTTTCGGCCCCCTACGGATAGAAACCAGGTTGGATGGGCGGTCCTGAGTTTTCTGGAGAAATAACTAAGGGCTGGCTGGGATTGCATTACTTCATGAGGTGTAGGGGGAGATGGATTTCTGTATTTGTTTTCTCTTCATGTCTGCAAAACTATCTGTAAAGCCATGCAGGAGCCTGGCCCGGTGCAATATATTCGGTTGCAATTTAGAAATGTGGATCATTCCTTGTTCTGTTGCTCATGCTTCTGGAAGTGTTTATTTCCTTCCTCACACATTCCTTTTCTCTAGATGTCCTTTCATTTCCAGATCGAATACAAAAGATTGCTTCTTTTCGAGTCCCTTGTTAAGAGCACTAAGGCACCCCTGAACTGTTTCCCTTATATGTCTCATAGGATGTGAAATTTATCTTGGACTCGTCTATATAGACTTTGTCCTGTGAGTTAACATACATGCCGCAGAGGCGTTGTCTCTGAAGTTGTGGAACAAGGAAAATGGTAGTTATTTTAAAATGCACTACATTCTTTGGATGACACCTGTTTGATCTTAGCTACCTTGCCCATGCTCAGGCTGATTATCTGCACATTAGCATGAAATTCACAAGTTTTCTAAATAGCTGTTTTTATTCCAGATGAGAGGCCTCTTCCTTTCTCCCCTCCTTTAGTTTCTGCTTGAAATATAAGAGTAATTAGTGGGTGTGTCTTCCTTAACAGTCAGTAGGAACTTTGATGTGTAAGAAAATGTTCAAGAATTCTCAGTTTTTTGTATTAAAAGATTCAGCTTGTATTGCTAATACAGTTTCAGCATGACACATAGGTTTGTTCATGCTGTCCCTGATTAAACAGTTGGGGACAGCATGAACAATTAGGGACAGCATGTTATTTAAAAAAAAATATTCAGAGCGAGCTGATGAAGTTGTCAGTCCCTGATGGGGAGAAATTCTAATGTAGTTAAAGAGCTTTCTCTTTGAAACATATCTTGTCAAGAAAAGGTATGAAGAAGCTACATTAAAAATGTGACAAGCAGAAGAAGAATATCTCTGTGTGAAGGAGGAGTCCACGGTTAGTTTTGGATAGATGTTCATGTTTTATATCTTACACATGTATAATGAGAGAGAAATATAAATATTTAGTTAGCAGCTGTTACTGTTGAGTACAGTAGATCTCACAGCCCCTCCATGTGTTAGTTGAAAATTGGTTCCAGACCTGTCTGATCGGATGACATTGTTTTGAGAGCTGAGTCAGTTTTTTTGCTGTCATTGGGTTGATTTATTTGAAAGTGGAACAAAGATGGTCTTTTTTTATTTTTCAGTATTGGAATTTATGGGTGGATCATGCTTTTCCTGATCGGAGTTCTGGTCTCTATGCCTCCTAGCTCCTGGGCTATAGCAAGTCATTCTGTTTCAAGACAATCATCAGCCATTAAGAAACCCAAGCAGCAGCTTGGTCTTTTATACCCTAGATGGTACCCCACTAAAAAGGAGGAGGAATTAGAATTTTGCTTGGTTTACCCAAACTGGCTTGTTGTTAGAGTTCTTGATTTTACTAAAAAGCTTTGTAAGAAAAATCAAGCATAAACTATGGATTTTAGGGAGGGTGATTTTAATAAACTAAGAGAAATAGTAAGAAAGTTGTGGGTAGGCAAAAGGCAGCTGGCTGGGACTTCTTAAAAAGGAAATTGAGGATAATGCATCTCAAACAATACCAGTGAGGAAAAAAACAAGGAGACATCAAAACGAGCCAATGTGGTTGAATAGGCAGCTTGTAAAGGAGTGAGACTGAAGAAGGATGCATATATGAAAGGAAAGGAAAGGAAAGGCTAGCAGCCAAGGAAGCTCAGAAATGTAGCAATGAGGTTAAGAAGGCAAAGGCAGAAAATAGTTTAAGGCTAGCAAGGAGGGTTCCTTCAAATAAGTCAATAGCAAGAGGAAGGCAAAAGATAGGAGGACTCACTCTTAGTCCAAGTGGAGAAATCTTGACAGATGACCCAAAAAAAAAAAAAAGGGAAGGAAGTCAACTCCTTTTCTTCTGCATCCAAAGGAAATGGTGATTTGAGTAGCATAGACTGTAAATGAATATTCACAGGGAGGGTGCAGGTCAGTAAGGATGTGGTAAGGGAGCCAATTTGAATGTCTTCAAGTCCCCAGGCCTTGAGAACTGCATCCTAAAATAGTGAAGTTGCTGGTGGAAGAGCTATTGGGACTTCTGTAAGTCTTTGAATGACAGGGAACTAGAGAAGAGCAAATGTGGTCCCCCTGTTCAGAAAAAAGGGGATCCCAGTAATTATTGATCAGTGAGCCTAACATTAATACCTAGCAAGGTATTAGAGCAGATAATAAGCATGTCATTTGTAAACTTCTTGCAAACAATGCTTTGATTGCTAAGTGTCAGTATGGCTTTGTCAAAAATAGGTCATGTGAGACAAATTTAATCTCTTTTGACAAGATAATTGCTTTAGTGGAAAAAAAGAATGCCATGTATATATATATATACTTTTATAATCTACAGTATTTTATTTCAGTAAAACAAAAGCTTCCATATTATATTCTCATCAACAAACTATTAAAGTGTAATTTGGGTAGCATTATAGTAAGGTGGGTCCATCACTGGCTGGCTAACTGCACTTAGAGTCAGCATTAATTGCTCTACTTCAAGTTGGTAAGCAGTAACTGGTGGCATCTCATGGGGATAGGTCTTGGGGCCTATCAACATGTTTTTCAGTGACCTGGATATCAGGGCTGATGAGCTGCTTATCGGATTTGCAGATGACACAAAATTGGAGGAATCTGATCAACACCTAGGATGACAGAATAAGGTTGCAATCTAATCTGGGCAGATTATGAGACTGGGCGGAGAGGAAAAGGATGCCCTTTAACAGGGAGAAATGATAGGTATTACATTTAGAGTGCAAAAATATAGTCCACGCATACAGAATGAGGAATTCATGGCTTGGAAGCATTACATTGGAGAAGTACTTAGGTGTAGTCATTGACAACAAGCTGAACATAAACCAGCAGTGTAAGACAGCTGCTATTAGGCTAACACAGTTCTGGGCAGCATTGGAAGAAGCATTGTATCATGCCTTATTCCCTTTTATTTGGCACTGGTGAGACTGTACCCGCACTGTTGTGTGCAGTTCTGGGCACTACATTTCCAAAAAGAGATTGACAGGTTTGAACAAGTTCAGGGGAAGGCAGCAAAGATGATACAGGAATTTGAGGACGTGCCTTATGCAGGCAGGCTGAAGGAATGTGGGATGTTCAGTCTGGAGAATGAAGACTGAGTGAAGACCAATCGGTGTTTAGGTATATAAAAGGGTGCTGTAATCAGGAACTGTTTTTCATTGAAACTAGTACCAGAAATAATACTTAGATTTCATTTAAATATATGGAAAAATTTCCTTATGGTAAGAACTGTAGAGTAGTGGAACAGTCTACCTATGGAGGTTTTCTCCATCTCAGGAGGTTTTTAAGGAAAGATTAGATAGCCACTATTCAAAAATGGTTTAATTGGTTTTCCTGCACATTGCTGAGGGTTGTGGTAGATGATCCTTGTGATCCCTTCCAACTTCTCAATTCTATTGTTTCTTTTTCCCACCCACCCCTTCCCCCTTTGATTTATAAGATACTGTTGAGGAACACTGAAAGTTAGGTGCTAATGTAAGTTCCTTACCAATGACAAATGATTAAAAACAGATGTAAAACAAGAAACCATAGTGAAGTTAGGCAAAAAACTTCCATAGTAAAGTTATTGTACACAGTTACATCTTACATAATGGATACTGATGTACATCTTTGTTTCTAAGATGCTGTTAGGGCATGGTCAAGCAGTAGGGAACACTGAAATATGGAATTGCGAATCGTTGAGACTGTATTGTGAGTCAGGCAGAGTGTATCTAGTCCAGGGACCCAATGCTGAATAATTTAATTTTTGGTGGCATCATCCATGATATGTGGGAGTAGGTTTTAGTATGTCTATTACAGATACTTATTTACTGCATCAGTAGCTCTTAGCATTGGGCCACATAAAAGATACCAGTTGGTTAGTGAAGCTTTTGTCACAGATCTATTTATAATTCCATTGGTGAAAAGCAAAATAGGAATTGTGAAGAATTAAAGGTATCTTAATCTGAGATAGCTTTTTAACATTTTTGTGGGGTTTTTATGACAATTTCTCTGAATAACCAACTGTAGAATTTGTCCATCTATATGTCCATATTAATGTCAAACAGATTCACCTTCAGTTTTAATACATCTTAAAATAAATTTGTTTTGGAGGCATTTAATAGGACTTGTGAACTTGGATGAATATATAATTGATGTGGTTCTTTTGCTTCCTTTCAGTAATAGTAGAAGACCAGTTAAGGTAACAGTTGCACTCTGCATGAGTTATGTATCAGGAATGAAAATATCTCATTCTTTTTAAGGCTTGATAACTAGAAGAACTGGAATTCTAGTGGTGAAGGAGATAGATGAATTGA